TAAAATGCCTCCACAGGAAAACCTTGGAATTTCAGAAGAATTTTCGGATTTTACTAATTTTTAATGCAACTCGTATATAAGGAAAGTTACAATAATCACCACTTTAGCATGAAATTAAGGTATTTGGAGGTTGCTTTTGATGGGAAGCATACATCCGATTAGTTGGATGATCGAGCGAATGATTATATGATCAGAAAAAGAAAAAGTTCATGAATTAGCAGATCATGAAGAAGATATGGAGCTTTACTGTCTTCTTCAAAGATCTTCTAAGCTCATGTCTAGACTATTTGCTACAGGTGTCAACACAGTAGTCATGTGTTCCTCTGAGTACAATTGAAGTTTTAGCAGCATCTCCTGCGTCAATAACAAGCATAAACAAACTACTTCGAATTATCGATTGATTTCCGAGATGTCTTTATCGTAAGAGATATCAGTTTATAGTAAATTTCCAATACAATCCAACTCTTCACACCGTAACCAAGTTTTTTCTTCAGAGAAACTGTTTTTATTCAGAACAATGGCTTTGCAGTCTCTGACCGAAGTTGAGTCAGATGTTTGTCCTAGAACTTATTACCTTCATTTAATAATATCATATTCCTGACTTAAATAAGTTTAAAAGTATCACTTATAAACCTTAACAATACATTGTTATCTGCCGATCTTCAATTTGCTTTACATTTCGTTTCAACGCTGAGGACGTCCGAGGTTTCATTGGGCTCTTCATTGGTTTTGATTTAAGCCATCAAATATACGGAAAGTTTAAAAAAGTACTCATAGCAAATTCGCGTAAGAATTTGCTTAGTCTTTTGTAATTCCTTAGTTTCCTCTCAAAATTTTTTCTTACCAAAAATTTTTTGTTTTTCTAAACAAACCTTGTGGTGCGCAAGCTGGTACTAATGGATATCCACATTCCTCTTTACAGATACAATCGAACTCCAGATAAACCTTGCTCCCCACTTGCAAATGCTCTAAACGGTGCTAACTTTGGAATGCGTAAGAATTGCAGAACTGGTTAGAAATCTGGTTTGCTTTAAAGGACGATGCTTTTTACTGCCAAGGAATTGAGAAGTTGCCTGTAATATGGAGAGAAGTGACAAATAACGGTCCAGAATCCATGAATGTTTGTTTTAGTTGGTTAGAGTCATTTTACTGTTTGTTTAAGCATAATAATCATTGATGATAGAAAGCCGCACGAACTTGTTGGAAAACCCAATAACTAGCTAAGATTTGCCAAGAAAGTTACCAACTTTGTAAGTTTGATAGA